GAATAACATAATGCAATAATTAGAATACCAATTCAAGTATTTTAAAAGCTTTCAAAGAAGAATGCTTTTATAGGATAAGTAAACAGGCTTTTTGGGTACCAAATCAAATATCTGATACATCACTCTAGCTTATAATTTAATGTAATCAAACATTAAAGTTCAGAAAAATTTAAAATGCAAAAATTGTTTTTAAAAAATTAGGTATTATGTTAGTACTTAAAAACTCTGCTTTCTTGAATTTCCTTCAGGCTTCCTTTAAATGTCAGTGGCCAACTAGTGCATTAATAGTAGATTGGTGCTTTAATGTTCTAATAAGTGATACTAAAAATTATGAGCCATCAAAAATCATGAAATTCTAGACAGAAATTGGGTAGAGAAATTCAAACTTTAGTCAAATAATCAAAATCAAATTCCAATTTTAAAGCAACTACTGAAATTGTTGGTAAAGTTATTCAACTTCTGGCAGTTTCAGGGATCATAATGATAGCATATAAACATTTACACCTGTTTAAATATAATTCACAAACCAATTCTGTCCCCACAATTCCTGTGTCCAAATCTGGAATTATCAACGCAAATGCCTACTGAAGCCATGCCGGGACTGCAGCGCATCACAACACTGCCTAGTAATTCAGCCACAGGCCACCAACTTGTGACTCGTGCTTTAAAACCTTTGGTAACAAAAATTCCAAGTAGGAAGTGATCTTACAAATACCCAATTCTTATTTATAAACTTCACCATCATCTACAGTGTGATAAAAACTGGCAGTAATCTCTTCATATTGATAATTAATGAATAAATATACTTAAGGGACTTTCATTTTCCATAAAAGGAATGAGTTCAACCTAGAACAATGTTTGCTTGAAAAGATATTTTGGATATACTGGTAACACAGTAGAGATAGGTAACACAAAACAAACATTTTTTGTGTATTCTTTTTTATTGTTTGGAACACCAAAGTAACCCAAACTTTACATTTACAATGAACTTTTTAATAAAAATATGTTGTACATATTAGAGATACATGTTATACAAAAGTTTTTGAAAAGTAAACACAGACACTTATACAGTAAAGAGAATGAACTGGATTGCTGTCATTTTTAATATTCCTTCTATCCTAAGTGACCAACAACTGTAGAATGTTACCTTTAGCTTTTATGAAACTACCACATTCTAGCTATTTTGGTGTGTGAGATTTCTTTAAAATCAAGTAATAATGAATGATTACTGTGTATAAAGTAATTTTGTATTTTAAGAATGTAAGTATTACTAAAAGAACCAAAATTTCTAAACGTTGGTTTTATTCCCTCCAAATTTAGTAACACAACTCAACTAATTACTAAGACCCACACTTAAGTCTGATGATAAAGAATTTTAAACCAAACCATCCTTAAGGCACCCCCTGCCTCTTTCCAGTATAATCAGGCTTCACTACAGAATTTTTGGAGACCCACTGAACAACTGCTTGGCACCTCCTACTTTAGAAATATTGCCATATTTCACAAATTAAGATCCAACACAATTAAATCTCGCTCACTGGAAAAACTATAGATCCCTAGGTGTGCTATTTATCACTAAACCAACACACATTTTCTCAGTAAGCCAACTGATGGAACTTCGATACGTGTAAATTTATGACCTAATCTATCTCAAAAATATCTGATGCAATTATGTCAAGATAAATTTTTTTCCTAAAAAGTAGGCCGGGCACAGTGGTTCATGCCTGTAATTCCAGCACTTTGGGAGGCTGAGGCGGGCAGATCATGAGGTCAATAGATCGAGACCATCCTGGCCAACATGGTGAAACCTTGTCTCTACTAAAAATACAAAAAATTAGCTGGGTGTGGTGGCATGTGCATACAGTCCCAGCTACTCAGAAGGCTGAGGCACAAAAATTGCTTGAACCTGGGAGGTGGAGTTTGCAGTGAGCCCAGACTGCACCACTGCACTCCAGCCGGGCAACAGGGCAAGACTCTGCCTCAAAAAACAAATTTGCTTCTTCCGTCTGCCAATACAACAGTTACAAATCACAGTTGAAGTAATATAATTTTAGAATGACAAAAGGTATTTTTCTCTAGGTGTTATGAATATTGTCTATGACATTTCTTATGTGTAATATAAGCACCCATCATTCAGTAAGTGCCTGCCCTGCAGCAGGCCCCATACCAAGTGTTTTATATATGTTAGCCCATTACACCATTGTGATACCCTGTTGTGTCTGTCATTTTTATCCCCCTTTACAGATGAGGAAAGTGAAGTTTAGTATCAATTTCTAGGCTTACAGTTTTCTGGTCAGCACAACACTTTCCTTCATTATCTTAAAAGAAAACATTTAGAGCACCAAGAGGAAATATCAAAGCATCTTAGTTCTGGCATTCTATCACTCGGTTATCCCCACCTGATTACTGATCCTTTAGTACTGCAATATTGCAGTGTGGCTGCCACATTCTTTTATCAAAATGATAAAACTGGTTAGTCTTGGATGAATCCTTCTTAATTTGCATACACATTAAAAGCTCATACCTCTATAAGGTCAAAATTCATGTGATATTCTTTACAAGACTGCTGACTGAAGGCACATGGAAGGCATTCTTTCTCATGAGTGGAACTAAACTACTGTATTTTAGTTAAAAGTGCTTATTTTAACATAATTGTTATCATTTTTCTTATGTCAAACTCTAAACCCTTATGGATTTAGAACAGGCTTCAATTTTTAAACTCTGTTTTATAAGTTATGAACGAAGATAATCAATAGAGGTAAAATATGAACAGTCCTGCATTGAAAACCACCCACTCATGTAACAACTGTTCCCTTCTTATGGGTCCATCTAGTGGGAGGAAGATGGACACAGAAACAGGTATGTCAGATGATGATAAATGCTACAACTGATTGAGAATTTAATTACATTTCCAGCTATGCCTAGCTTACTATATATTTCCAAGCTCACCAACTTCTCATCTGTGTTTGGTTTCACATGTTGGAGGCAGAGGTTAAATCTTATGTTCAGTAGTGGTAAGAAATAACAGGACGGGTCTTCAAGACCTAAATGTTAAATCATAGGCAGGCTACTTACTACTCTTCAGGGTTGTTTGAAAGCGGTGGTCATTAAACTCCCGGAGATCATGAGATCTTTTCATTCCTAAGTTTGTTAAGCCCAGTAAAAAGCACAAATGCAGCAATTTTGTAAATAGTTTCAGGTAGTCTAACATCCATGGACCTGAGACTAAGATTCACAACCAAATGTGTGTGTGTGTGTGTGTGTGTGTGTGTGTGCGCGCGCGCACGCATGTAGGATGTGAAGAGAAGGGGTTGATCAGAAAACCATCCACAGATTCTATAATTCTTATGCAATCATGTTAACATGGGGAAAAAAAAGCATAACAAAACAGATCCAAAGATGTTCCCTGGTTCCTAGTCCAATGTTCCTTGTATGATATGATTTCCATGGGAAGGTAGAAGCTCTTAAGCAACTTCCTTATTAAACAAATGATTTTCCATCATTATGGTAACTATGTTCCTTTATCACTTGTGATAAATTTTAATTCCAAATCCTCTTTTACCATTACCTAATCTGTGTACTAAGAGAAATAATATCAAGTCTATTTTCAGCCTAAACTTAGTCTGGGGGGGTGGGGGGCAAAAATACAGTATACCATTTAAAAACAAATTGATTTTTTAAAATTATCAATGTAGTACATGCAAAAAATAAAAAATTTCAATAGTACTGAATAGTATGGGTGAAAAGTAAAAGTCCTCCATTAAAAACCAATGTTTCACTGTCCTACATCTCACAGGTAATCAATGGATTCTTTCCTAAAACAACTCAGATTATAAAAGCAAACAGGCATGTACATAAATCTTTGAAAAATACTATGGGCTCACAGGACTAGAACACTGCAATACTCTCAAGGTATTAACTTCCAATTAGGAGATTCAAGTTAATTATATTTGGCAATACCACTTCAAATATAACAATTTGTTAATTTAAAAGATGGTCTACTATAACAAGCATGAGATGTATTTATTCATAACTTATTATTCATAACTTTTTAAAATTTTTATTTGAGACAGAGTCTTGCTCTATCACCCAGGCTGGAGTGAAGTGACACAATCTCGGCTCACTGCAACCCCACCTCCCAGGGTCAAGCAATTCTCCTGCCTCGGCCTCCTGAGTAGCTGGGATATAGGCGCACGCCACCACGCCCAGCTAATTTTTGTGCTTTTTTTTTTTTTTTAGTGGAGACGGGGCTTCACTATGTTGGTCAGGTTGGTCTCAAATTCCTGACCTCGTGATCCACCCACCTTGGCCTCCCAAAGTGCTGGGATTACAGGTGTGAGCCTCCACACCCAGCCAAGAGTAAGCCCACTCAAAGATGTAAAAGATCTAAGTCACATTGCCCTTGATCACAGTATTCAAGTTGTGGGTAAAAAGCACAACAGATAAACTCCAGGCAAGTCAACTGACAGTGAATGGGAAAGTGGTATCTCAGACTGCAACGATTACTCAGAAAACAAAGCCATTTTATTGCAATGTATCAAAGATAAGCCCACAAAGAATGCTACCAAAGTCCATGCGTTTCAGATGGATAAAAATTGGTCCAGATAAAGAAAAACCTATGCTGTTAAAGAAATGTCCCTTTAAAAGCTGGGAAGAAACTGAGGTTAAGTGAATTATGAACTCTGTACCAATTTCTTTGCACAGAGATTACTTTCTTCATTTTTCTATACCAAATAAGGATGTGAAGATCCAAACTTTTATTCAAGACAGACAAACATGATTTCATCTTTGGATTATCTCTTGGTAAAGACCAAGTACACATACTTGACTTTAAGAGGAGTATCTTCCTCAAAAACAAAAACAAAAAACAACCAAAAAAAAAAAAACAAAACCAGTCTTAGAGATCATTTTCCCAAAATTAACACTGTTTTTTTAAAAAACCTAACTTGGTGATGGGGGGTGGGGAAGGAAAATTAGTAACAAAAAAAAAAATAACTTACCAAGAAGTGAAACAGGCTGGGTTACAGGAGGGGTAGGCAGATTCGTAGGTGCAGCAGGTGGCACAGCAGAGCCATACATTTTCACACTGTCACCAGACTCGGCGTTTCCTCTAGCCCCAGACACCACTGTTGGAATGGGATTTCCAATAGATAAGTCTTTTGTAGTGTCTTCATTTATACCAGCGATAGTAGCTAAGGAATATAATTATATCAACATGTGAAGCTGAATAATTAATTATCTCCCGGTCAACATTCTTCTGCCATACTATAAACTCTATTACCGGTTGACTCTCCCTCCTATACCCAGCTCCAAGACGATAAGCAAACACAAAAGAAAAAACCATGCTTACAGTTTGGGATGCTTATTGGTGGAGTGTGAGGAGGAGGAATGGATACTGGTGGAGTTATAGGAGGTGGGGGTCCAGGAGGAAGAAAACCTAAAATAAGAGAAATAATGTCAACTTATGTTCTGTCATTTCATTGCAGGCTCTAAAGTAAGCATGTTCTCAGACAATTTGGTGTACCTGGTGGTAAATGCATTGGGTTGAATCCTGGGCGCAAAAACGGTGGAGGAGGAGGGGGAGGAGGAACACCAGGACCAAAGCCTGGAGGTGGAATTCCCAGAGGAGGTGTGAAAGCAGGTGGTTGGAGAGCACCAACTACAGGTGGACCCGGTTGATGTGGTGGGACCTAGAAAGAAAGATAAAAAATGAAACCACCTATCTAGACACCTTCTCATCCATACAGTAAACACAGATAAAAGAGCAAACTGTTGAAAAAAGATGTTTCTTAATTTGTGCTTGTTAGACCAGTAAATTCATTAAATCAGGTGATAGTTAACTTCTATTCATACGAACTGATAGAAATCAAAGCTGTGCTCTCCACTTTATGACAGCAAATTCATACTACATTTCATCAGTGTTTACTGGTGTTCTGACATCACACATTTTAAAATGGTCCATGGTCCAATCAAGCAACTTTGGGTAATATAGCTCTAAGCCAGGCTACTTGGCAATATACAGTGGCTAAGCTCGCAGGTCCTGGAGACAAACTGTCTGCCTCTCCCACCCGCTTTAGTTAGCTGTGTGACCTTGAGCAAGCTATTTAAAAAACTCTCTAAAATGGGAAAGTGCCAACCACACATAATTATGCTGATTAAATGAGTTAATATATACTAAGTGTTGGTGCCTGGCACATAATAAACACCCATCAAATGTTAGCTTTTTTTTTTTTTTTTTAAGATAAATCAATAGCAGCATCAGATTCTCATAGGGGCATGAACTCTATATGCACATGTGAGGGATCTAGCTTGTGCACTTCTTACAAGAATCTAACTAACGCGTGATGATCTGATGTGGAGTAGCTTCATCCTGAAACCATCATCCACTCCAGTCCATAGAAAAATTGCCTTCCAATAAACTGGTCCCTGGTGCCGAAAAGGTTGGGGACCACTATTTTAACAGATTAGGCAGGTTTCTAACATATGAGGAATGCCAAAGCCAGGGAAGGGAATTTGCACATTTACAAACAGGAAATTGAAGCTTAGAGATTAGGTTACATGCCAAATGCCACACTGATGAGTATAAACAATAGAGCTGAGAATTAAATCCAGTTCTACCAGAATCCATTCTTTCAAGTAACAGGTTGGTTGACTATACAGCAAAGATTTTATAATAAGAACATAACTTCTTGTTAAACAGGATTAATTATAAATAGCTTTCAATCCATTTACAAATTTCATAATGATAGCACCAAGGTGAAGATTAAGAAAATCCCTTTCCCTCAAAGCAGCAGCTTATTGGGTACATATGCAAGTTCTTTCAGAACATAAAATCCCTGAAGAATGAAGACTCAGAAAAAAAAAGTTGGCACAATCTATGCAACTCGATACTGAGTCACCTGGTTAGATAGATATAAGACAATATAAATTTATTTTGGTTCTATAAACATTTATGGGCCAGGTACAGTGGCTCATGCCTGTAATCCCAGCACTTTAGGAGGCCAAGGCAGGCAGATATCTTGAGGTCAGCAGTTTTGAGACCAGCCTGGCCAAAATGGTGAAAACCCGTCTCTACTAAAAATACAAAAACTAGCCAGGTACGGTGGCACATGCCTGTAATCCCAGTTACTCAGGTGGCTGAGGCAAGAGAGCCGCTTGAACCTGGGAGGCAGAGGTTGCAGTGAGCCAAGACTGCACTACTACACTCCAGCTTGGGTAACAGAGTGAGACTCTGTCTCCAAAAAAAAAAAAAAAAAAAAGAAAGAAAGAAAAAAATAATTAGGAAAATATAAACCTTAAATCTGACAAACCATGAAAAACGAATATGCACATAGATGTACTCATTTTTAAAAAAAAAAAAAAAAAACTATGAATACAGACATATATCTACAGTAAGACTCAGAAAGGGAAAAGTTTAATGTCCCAATATTCTTACCTGTGGAGGTGGCACTGTTATAGGTGCAGGAACAGGAATAGGAGGGACAGGCACGGGTAATGGTTTAGGTATGGGTGATACTGGTTCTGTGTGTGAGGTTTCAGCACCTCCATTTTGAGCAACTTCATTTTCAGGCTTCTTAGGAATTCCTTTCCAATCTGTGAGAGTGAAAGAAATTTAACAAGAGTTTACCATTTTCAGTTTATAACTTTAAATCTAGAAAGGAAAAATGTTGATTATAAAAAACTAGCCCAATTATTAAAGAATGCCTATGCTAATTTTAGAAACAATAATTATTTAGATTAGTAACAACAGACACATGCAAAAGTATGCTTGCTGTGTGCCAGGTGCTGTCACAAGTACTCTATACTAGCTTATTTAGTTCTCAAAATGACTTACAAGTAGATACTATTACTAATCCCATTTTACAAATGAGGAAAGCAAAGACTGCTTGTGTGCCCAAGATCACATTAATAGTAAATGGCAGAGATGGATTAAACTCAGATACATTTTGTTCCACATACTTAACTACAAGAATATACTGTTTGAAGTATTAAAAATAAAGGATAATGAAACATCTGATATTTCCTGAGCAAATTTTCACTAATATTAAAGAATAACTTAAACCTTTCAACTATTTCTACATATCTTCTAGTCAAATGATAAACAGAAAACCATCTTTCTGCTCTGTCCTCTGGGGCCTTGGCTCCATCAGAGATTCTCCAATATTACTGACCCTTTCCATACATTCTCCATTGGACCATGAGCTCCAGATGACACTATCTTAATCTTTTACCCTCGTCCAGAGCCTCCCAGATATCTGGCACATAGGTGGCCTTCAATACCTGATTGCCTGAATACAAGTCTAGCTCTATCCTTAGGTGAAGGTTTTATGCATTAATGGAGGGAGTGGGATGTGGGAATAGTACAGCATTGTTTCACCTCTTTTTGGCTCTCAAATCTCACTACTGCTTGAAGCTTCCTTTATTTTATTTTTATTTTTTGAGATGGAGTTTTGTTGTCTTCCAGGATAGAGTATAGTGATGCAATCTTGACTCACTGCAACCTCCATCTCCTGGGTTCCTGCGATTCTCCTGCCTCAGCCTCCTGAGCAGCTGTGATTACAGGCACCACCATATCCAGCTATTTTTTGTTTTTCTATTTTCACCATGTTGGCCAGGCTGGTCTTGAACTCCTGATCTCAAGTCACCTGCCTGCCTCAATCTCCCCCAAAGTGCTGGAATTATAGGCGTTGAGTCACCACGCCCAGCCTTGAAGCTTCCTTTAAATGTTCTGAGGCCGGGCACAATGGCTCATGCCTGTAATCCCAGCACTTTGGAAGGCTGAGGTGGGGGGGGTGGATCACCTGAGGTCAGAAGCTCAAGACCAGCCTGGTCAACATGGTGAAACCCATCTCTACTAAAAAATACTGCTGAGCGTGGTGATGCGTGCCTGTAGTCCCAGTTACTCGTGAGGAAGGCTGAGACAAGAGAACTGCTGGAACCATGGAGGCAGAGGCTTCAGTGAGCCGAGATCCTGCCACTGCACTCCAGCCTGTGAGACAGAGCAAGACTTCATCTCAGGATAAAAAAAAAAGTTCTTTCTGTGTTGCCATGCCATCCTATGCTCCTCCTTGTTCCTGTCTAGCAATCTCCAGGTCATGCCCATGCATTCTGCCATTCTTCCCACTGGAATCTGTCAATCTGGCACTTAAAATATTTACGCCCACAAACAACTGCAACTCCTGGTCTTACATGTTTACTTTAGATTGCTTCTCTGGACATCTAAAACTATCCAAGGGAATTATTATGAAGCACTGGATTAAAACACAATACCAGGCCAGGTGCAGTGGCTCATACCTGTAATCCCAACTCTTTGGGAGGCCAAGGTGGGTAGACCATCTGAGGTAAGGAGTTTGAGACCAACCTGGCCAACAGGGTGAAAACCCATCTCTACTAAAAATGCAAAAATTAGCTAGGTGTGGTGGTGCACACCTGTAGTCCCAGCTATTTGGGAAACTGAGGTAGAAGAATGGCTTGAACCTGGGAGGCAGAGGTTGCAGTGAATCAAGACTGTGTCACTGCACTCCAGCCTGGGCGACAGAGCAAGACTCCATCTCAAAAAATAAATAAACATAATACCAAAGATGCTCAGTTAAGAGCTATATGATCTGTTAAGTTTCAAAGAAAAAGTTCTACTTAATTCTGTAATTCTTTTTTTTTTTTTGAGACAGCGTGTCACTCTTGTTACCCAGGCTGGAGTGCAATGGCGCGATCTCGGCTCACCACAACCTCCGCCTTCTGGGTTCAAGCAATTCTCCTGCCTCAGCCTCCTGAGTAGCTGGGACTACAGGCACGCGCCACCATGCCCAGCTAATTTTTTGTATTTTTAGTAGAGACGGGGTTTCACCACGTTGACCAGGATGGTCTTGATCTCTCGACCTCGTGATCCACCCGCCTCGGCCTCCCAAAGTGCTGGGATTACAGGCTTGAGCCACCGTGCCCGGCCTTAATTCTGTAATTCTTAAACCCCATAATCAGTAAGTATTTCATTTGTGTTTGCATCTCTTTTGTCTCATTCACTATTTAATCCTCAGTTTATAATAGACAGACTGACACAGGATACAAAAAAAAAAAAAAAAAAAAAAATCTCAAAATCACATCCTAATGCAAGGAACAGGACATTCAATTTGTCATGTGTACCACCAAGCAAACAAGTGAACTGTAAGAGAAATGAAATCCTGCTTTACCTGGGTTAAGTGTGTCACTGTCCAACATTCCTCCTTCACAAAAACTCTCCAGTTCCTCAGGCTTGACTTTGTCCCATGGAATATAAGTAACACCAAGTTCGACATCCCAATACTGCTTATAATCTGCCTTTATTCCTTTGTTTAAGGCCCAGGCAATCTATTTTACCAGTAGTGAAAATAGAAAAGAAAGAAAAACAAGGTCGTAAGTCTTGAAAATACTATTCTCTATCATTCTATCCATTCTAACCTTGGTAGCAAGGGAGCAATCTGGACAAGCTAGGCTTGGATTTCATTCAAAACCTTATTCTCACTAAGGAACTGGTTACCTTTTAATTCTCACTTTGTCCTAGAATGGAAACTTCACTGGCATTTGCTCATTACCCACTCTCACCCAACCCAGCCAACATAAAACTTAGAGAAAAGGAAAAAGTTTATCAGGGAAAGGCAGAAGTTCACTGAATAGCATAGCAGCATACTGGGGACTACTTTTCCAAGTCTAGGAATGCCTTGTAATTACTTAACATCAGACAAAATCCTTTTGTAGTGCAATCCAATGGCAGAACGGGGTGTTAAGACACAAAGAAACAGTGACTTCAGCTTCTTAGGGAAATAATATCCTTAATACTAAGATGGCAAACTTTAAAAATATGGTATCCAAATTTTTTGAACAGGACAAAACATACTGCTAAAGGACAACATATTTAAAGCATTAATTTACCTTGATGAACCCATCTACATTTCAAACAAAACAAAACCAAAATTCTACCATGCATGTAACATTTACAATTTTATGTTAAAACATTGGAGTTCTTTTAGGAGACATTCTCTTTAAAATAAAATAAAATAAAATAAAATAAAGACGCACATGAAATGCCTTAGTGTCAAAAGTCATTTTTAAGATCCAAATTAGTTTTTAAAGGCCACATGTTACTTCGTTCCCTTCTGCCTCTGCCTATTTTTAAAAAATGAATTATAACATGTAAGACCCTACCTTTATGGATTTCTGGTTCACTTTATAGTTTCCTCGGCTCAGCTTCTGCAGGGCACGATAGGCATCTTGCCTATGAACCATAACAATATAGGCACAACCCCTGGGAGGAATCATCTGCTCCAAAACATTTTAATATTATAAAAGGTAACAGAATTAACAGCAACAATTTATAAGTAACCAGTTCCAAGAATCCCACCCCCCATCCCATGCTCTGTAACAGGCGCCCCCAAACTACAACCTGCGGGCCACATGTGGCCCCGAGGCCATTTATCCGGCCCCCTGCTGCACTTCAGGAAGGGGTACCTCTTTCATTGGTGGTCAGTGAGAGGAGCACAGTATGCGGCGGCCCTCCAATGGTCTGAGGGTCAGTGAACTGGCCCCCTGTGTAAAAAGTTTGGGGACACCTGCTCTATAATGTAAGGTTAAATTCACTTCTATGATGGCAATTCAAGTTTGGTCTCAATTGAGTATTCCAAGCTTTGTTATATAAAGAGTTACCTAGAATTTTTTTTGTTTTGTTTGTTTAATTTTTTTTTTGAGACAGAGTTTCACTATTGTTACCCAGGCTGGACTGCAGTGGCATGATCTTGGCTCACCACAACCTCCACCTCCTGGGTTCAAGCAATTCTCCTGCCTCAGCCTCCTGAGTAGCTGGGACTCCAGGTGTGTGCCACCATGCCCTGCTAATTTTTGTATTTTTAGTAGAGACGGGGTTTCACCATGTTGACCAGGATGGTCTCGATCTCTTGACCTCGTGATCCACCCGCCTCGGCCTCCCAAAGTGCTGGGATTACAGGCGTGAGCCACCGCGCCCAGCCTACCTAGAAATGTTTGAAATTAACCTTGGTTATCCAAGAAATGTTAAACACAGAGAATTCTAAATGTGGACTCAGAACACCTAAACTCTAGTCACATCTATAAACCTGGGTAAATTGTAACTTAAGTCTCAAGTCTTTCATTTCATAAAATGACATTAATCACACCTGTCCATCACACTTAAATAAATGAATAAACACTCACGTTAATTGATTCAATTGGACCAAACTCTTCCAAGAGACTGGCAACATCCTGCTGAGTAGTTCTTTTGTCCAGTTGCCCCACCCAGAGTGTAGTACTGCAAACTTAAAATAAAATTACAATCATAAAGAGATTCACATTTGATAATGAGCAGCACTGTAGCTAAAAAAAAAAAAAAAAAAAAAAAAAAAATTACACAAAATATCCATGAACTATATTACAACACCACAAGTTTAAATAGAAAATCTGACATACATTTTTAAAATTCTAGAAAACTGCATTAGTACTTCCAAAAAGAGAACTGGGATAGTGAAAGGTATACATAAAAGTTGGAAAAAACTGGCTTTTTTGTAGATGGATCTAAAGATTTCATCTACAGAAACCGAAGCCAGGGAAGTAATAACTTGCCCACATTACCCTGCCAATGAATAGCAGAATTAGGACTGGAGCTCAAGTCTCTTGATTACCAACCAGCTGAGTACTTTGTTCACTACATGTAACTGTCCTTTCTCCACTCCTGAGTGTTCATAATTTTCTTTTTTAATCCTGTGTCCCAGGTAATAAGCCTTACAGAATCAGAAACCTTATATATGTCCTAGTCATATTATGAATTAAAATCTTAATCGTCTTTTTTTTTTTTGAGATGGAGTTTCACTCTCGTTGCCCAGGCTGGAGTGCAATGATGTGATCTCGGCTCACTGCAACTTCCATCTCCCTAGGTTTAAGTGGTTCTCCTGCCTTAGCCTCCTGGGTAGCTGGGATTACAGGCATGCACCACCATGCCCAGCCAATTTTGTATTTTCAGTAGAGACGAGGGTTCTCCATGTTGGTCAGGCTGGTCTCAAACTCCTGACCTCAGGTGATCTGCCCGCCTAGGCCTCCCAAAGTGCCGGAATTACAGGTGTGAGACACCAAGTCTGCCAATCTTAATCTCTTAATAGTTATTTATTTATATCAAATATATGTCTAGCCTACCTTACTAAATGTAGACTGAAGACGTTTGATGAGACTCAGAAAATAATGCAAGTGAATATATTCTGTAAATGTTTGGTTCACTCCTTACTGCTGCTTTACAGCTGGTTTAAGGTACAAAAGCAAATCTAATTGCTTTTATATAAATCATTGTTTATACACTAATGTATAAACAACTAAGACAAAATAAAGCAATACCTCAAATAAAAAACACAGAGGTAATATTTCTTTTATATTTTTGCTAACAGGTATGAAACACTTTAAACACAAGACAAGAAAAAATAGTGCAGGAAGTCTGAATATAAAGATTGAGTTACCACTTGCAGTTTCTGGTTTGACTTGAGGGAGGCCTTTTTGTCGACGTTCTCTCTCTTTTTCTCGATCCCGTCTTTCTTGGGATCGAGATCGGGGAGAATGTCGGCGTCTATCCCTGGACCGAGACCGAGAACGTCGATGACGAGACCTTCGAGATCTAGAACCAGATCTAGATCGCCTCCTTTTTGGTGACCTAATGTTTTCAAGAAAAGGGAGAATGGATAGCATATAGAAAAAATGCAGAAAATATAAGCACATACTAACTTAAAAAAATACAACTAGGTAATTTAATGTTTGGATTACGTAAGAATGCAAGAGCTGGGAATTCATTTTACAGATTTTAGTATGTCTCAAATTAGAAATCATGCACATTATTTAAATAAAATAAACAATGTTGACAGCCTATATAGAAAGTATCTGTCATCTTCAGTGCCTTTGGTACTATATAAAATTACATTCTTGTAATTTAAGTAGCTAATTTTCATGGTTGAGATACATTGCTTTCACTTTTTTTTTTTTTTTTTTAAAGGGATGAGGTCTTGCTATGTTGCCCAGGTTGGAGTGCAGTGGCTATTCACAGGTGCAATCCCACTACTGATCAGCAAGGGAGTTTTGACCTGCTCTGTTTCCGACCTGGGCTGGTTCACCCCTCCTCAGGCAATCTGGTGGTCCATACTGATGCCAAACTTAGTGCGGACACCCAATCGGCATAGCGCACTAGAGCCCAGAACTCCTGGGCTCAAGTGATCCTCCCACATCAGCCTCCAGAGTAGCTGGGACTACAGGCACGTGCTACCACACCCGGCCACTGCTACTACTGTTATCTACCTTCTTAGTATTTTCTGCAGCAATTAAAAACATTCTCTGAGTATAGCATTACTGTGATCTTTCCACTTTTGCTGGCCAATTAAGTTGTAATAGAACCCTGAAAATAGAGTTCTAATACGACATACTGTATACCTAAGGTATAGAATTACATTTCCAAAGTTCCACTACATCTGAGCAACTCAAATATAGAGGAAAAATGTAAGATGAACGAGGTAGATTTTTTAAAAATCAATACTTCTGTCCCCTTCTACACACATATACGAATACAAACATACCAACTGTTATTTTATTAACATTCTGAGTATCTGAAAATAACCCAATCTAATTTTTATGTCTCCTAAGACACACAGGGTTGGAAAAAAAATTTTCTATAGATTACCTGGATGCTGACCTAGATCTTGACTTTCTATTATCAGACATATGTCGCTTAACCTCTTGAATACAAGGTTGTTCTACTTCCATTTCCTTAAAAAACAAAAACCATCATAAAATGAGAAATACAAAAATTATAAAGGCAAGAGAACAAAATCTAACAAATGCCCCTAGGCAATTCTCTTTTGGTTGCTTGGGATCAAATTACTAGTTCAGTAACAACTAGCCATCATCACTGGAAGAAAAAAGAAAAACAAAACAAAAAAACACTTTTATATTGTTTAAAAGATTAAAAGAAATACCTCTCTACTTCTGGCAAAGTTACTTTGCTTAAATTACATACCATTTTAATAAGCCTTTAACACTCTATCTCAAACCTCACAGAATCCTACACAACTTGGTAGTTTTATGTCTACTTTCCAGATGAAACACCTAGAGCACTGGGAGAGTTTAACATGTATCCAGGTCTTTCTTTATATAGTCAAATATGAAGACAGCAAGCCAATTAGCAGAAATCTGCATATAAGTCAAGGCAACAAAAATGATACAATTATCTGAGAATAAAATTTTACCTGCTGATGTGGCTTCTGTGTAAGTGGTTCATTTTGTGCCTGAAAAGAAGCTTGGAAAGGTTGCTGCACTGGTGGAGTTGGAGGAATCACAGGCTGAGCCATGGGAGGAAATGGAGGTGTGGGAAGAAGTCCAAATCCTGGCATTTGTCCATTAGGAGGAAGTGGAACCTTTCATTTTTAAAGAAAGTGTATGAGTAACAGCTACCAAAATAATTTGGAAAACCCTTAGTTATTAAACTAAAATATCTTCAATAAACTTTGGGCAAGGAAAAGTTATAATGATATTCAACATTATTTAATAATTTCCATATGCACAATTTTCAAGCAAGGATTGTTACATACCAAGTATATAGTTAAAAATCCTGTAACTCATTTTAAAATTATGAATACACAGGTTTAGTTTTTAAATATTTAAAGAAATACTTTCATTTACATCAGAAAGCAATGTGATAAACTGAACTTCAAGTCGGTACTACTCTACTGCAAATGGTCTCGTTCCAGCCTTAAAGACAAGTATTTTAAGCCTTTTGGGAGGAAAACCGGCTTTCTAGAAGCAATGACTTCTAGGTTTACTTAAAAAAAAAAAAAAAAAAAAATTACCATGGGGGAATTTCAACTAACATACTCAACTTTTAGAATTTCAAATAAAGGATCATAATGAGTAAACTACAATTTAACGTATTTCTGTATGTACAATTTAAACGCGAAAACTACAAATACAATGCTATCAGTATTCTTTCTAAATTATTTATGAACTTTCAGTAATTGTTAAACATCTGAAATAACAAAAATGCTTCCTACCCTGTCCCTATAATTTAGATGCACAGCCAAGTTTAAGAAACACTCCATAAGATAATTTACTAAAATACTGAACAAATCTCTACTAACTTCCGGCAACTCTCCAGTGTGCTATGTATGCTCCTTTTATTCCAGATTTCAAACTATATTACTCAATGTTCAGAGCTCAGAGCCCTCTGAAGTATTTAACCACACAAAATACAGAAGAAAAGCCCTTCCAGGGGAAAAGGCTGTATAACTAAATAGGTCGGTTTCTTCAAAGAGAACTGTAATTTCTAAATTATTTTAACTAAAAGGCCTATTATTAAAATATGAGCATGCGATTTTACCATTCTTGTTTTAATTACAGAAAAAAGCAACTCAAAACAGTTCCATGTTCAACAGCTTTTATCGGAGCTATAGTACGACTTAGCCAATCACACAGCAGCATAGTGGTCTGTGGAGTGCAAACCACATGCTCTAATAAACAGATCTTTTTTTTCAACCGCAAGAAAAATGCTTGTACCTGATGGTGCATGGGATCCTGTTGTATTCCCATCATTCGTGGCTGAAACTGATCCATATTTTGATGCTGTGTGTATGCTGGCTGCTGCATGCCATCTCCAGGAAAGCCACTAAAAATAGGTAGAAAATCTTTTTTACCCATTCAAAAGCACAAGCTTCTCAGTCACACTTACACTACAGAAAGAGTGTTGTTCATAAGCCATTAGTCAACATGTAACTGAACCACGTATCTATCTATATATTAAATTTATAAACTCAGTATTATCCCCAACATAAAAGCCATTCTTTGATTTAAATCTTAGAGGATCCCTGCCTCATTTAAGAGAAAACTAATTCCACAAATTTTACAAAACAACTTCATTGAAAATCGTCACTGCTAAATGTTAGATTATGCCTTTACAACTATTATCAATTTTCTATCTGCTGAGGAATAAAAAAAAAAAAACTAACAATGGTGCCTGTGGAGGAGGAGGAGAGGCAGCAGTGGGTGCAGCAGCAGCAGGCACAGTGGCGGTAGGAGCAGGGGGCACAGTAGCAGCAGGTGCTGTCGTGGTGACGGCAGTGGTATCCTCTTTCTTTGATTCTTCCACAGCTTCTGGCTCATCATCGTAGTCAAATCTATCAAGCAACTTCTGGAAAAATTATATCAATATTTCATTTTAAAATTTAGACTGATTCACTGCACAAAAAATGTTACGAAAACTAAGGATGTTTACCACTATCTAGAAACCCACAATGTTAAGCATAATCTTATTTTCCCACATGTGCCTAAGGACCTTGGTTTGTAGATATGAACAGTTTTTAAACAGATGCCAGTTTGGAAAACACACAATGTTATTATTCTGTTTTCCTTCCCCAATTGTAAGTACAGTGTTTTCTTTCTATCAGTATATTTCACAAGCAATTTAGCAGCATAGATGTTTTTCTAAAATATTCATTTCCCTAGACTAAAAATGTCTGGAACACTGTGCAAATGGGCATACATTTTCAGTCAGCATAAAATGTACAAAAAGACTGTCTTATCCAATCACCATAAATGCACATAGAAAAGTGTCCATATACTGCTTGCTCAAGAATATACTAACATTATAAAAAGAAAAAACATAGCATAGGGATAGGGACGCAAAAAAGTCACTAGCAGTTCACTAAATAGTTTACTCACTTCTTTCTCACAACTTTAAAGCTTATCAGAAACTTTCTTTTAAAAACAAACTCAGGAGACTTAAGGAGATCACCTATCTAGAAGAATAATTTAAAGATTTATTCAGGAAAAAAGGTAATGCATTAAATACCTACTAATGCGTATCAGATATATAGACTTTATCATCACAAGAACACTGCAATGTAGATATGATTTCTTTTTTACAGACAAGGAAACAAAGGCTCAGGTGATTAAGAAACATGATCAAGATTGTACAGTCAGTGAATGGTAGAATCAGGAGGAGGATACTGATCTTTTTGACTTCAAAGCCCTCAGTCTCTGGCTTTCAATAAGCAATCTTTCCTTTCAAGCTGTGCCCATCCGCTCATGGACTTAAATCCCTTAACTTGCTCAACCTTAAATCCTTAAACTTGTGTCAATCTGTAATAGTTCTGCCTAGAGATTCTGGTTTTACTTTATTGAACAACAGATTTTTAAATGAGTAATGAAAGTTTCCTCCTTAGACAACACAGTATATAGGAATAAACTAAGTGTGAAGAGTGTGGATAGAACTGACTTTTCTTTCTTTTTTTGTAGTTCTAGGTCAAGCGAGTAGTTCTTACAAATGAGCAAGTCATTATTTTCTGAACAAGAACCACAGCCCAGGCACCTTGCTGTTTTATACACATTTTTATTTAACCTTCATGGCAACAATAAAATATTTTCACTACCATCTTTATTTTACACTACTGAATACTAAACATTAATTCAACAACAGGACAGTCTGTAAGTAATTAGAGCCAAAATTAAAATCTGGTCAAAGTTGCCTACAAAAAACAAAACCTATCTTCACAGTTTATTACATATTAATATGTTCTTTAAAGTTTGAAGAACATTGCTCTGAAAAAACTATATAAAACAATTAAAAAATTAACATGGGTCTATCCAAAAAGAAATTTTAGTTGCTTTATATGAAACTGAGGATCTATAAAGTAGCTGAAACAGACAAATTATTTCCAGTGAGTAGACTGAAACAGGCCTTCTTAGCCAAAGGAAAAGTACATAATTACTTTTTCTAAACTTATAGGCAAACCACTTAAATATAGAGGAATTACAATTCACATTAATAAGAGAAAGATGCTCATTATCATGGCTTTTCCTAAATTTACCTGTAAATTCAAAGCATTCTATACATTGACATAGAAACGTATAGAATTTTCCATTTCATTTGGAAAAGTATGCTGTGATGGTTAATTTTATGTGTCAACCTGCCTAGGTTATGCAGTGCCCAGCTGTTCGGTCAAACACAAACCTAGATGTTGCTGCGAAGGTATTTTTTAGATGGGAGTAACCTTTAAATCAGTAGACTTTGAGTAAAGCAGATTACCCTTGATAATGAATGGGCCTCAATCAATCAGTTGAAGGTATTAAGAATAAGAACTGGCAGCGCCTGTAATCCCAGCACTTTGGGAGGCCGAGGCAGGTGTATCATGAGGTCAAGAGATCGAGACCATCCTGGTCAACATGGTGAAACCCCATCTCTACTGAAAATACAAAAATTAGCTGGGCATGGTGGCGCATGCCTGTAGTCCCAGCTACTCGGGAGGCTGAGGCAGGAGAACTGCTTGAACCCAGGAGGTGGAGGTTGCAGTGAGCCGAGATCACACCATTGCACTGCAGCCTGGGTAACAAGAGCAAAACTCCGTCTCAAAAAAAAAAAAAAAAAAAAAAAGAGTAAGAACTGAGTTTTCCTGTAGAAGGAATTACCCTCAACACTGTAGCAGAGAAACCCTGGTCTGAGTTTCTAGTCTGCTAACCTGCAAATTCAGACTCAGACCTTCAATGTTAACTCCTGAATTTCCAGCCTGCTGACCTGCCCTATAAATTTCAAATTCACTAGCCCCTACAATTGTGTGAGCCAGTTTCTTAAGATAAATCCTTCATTCTTTTAATCTAGACAGACAGATGCAGATGTAGATACAATTACTGGTTCTGTTTCTCTGGAGACTTCTGACTAATACACTTTATGATAAATGAAGACAGTTTGAAAAAGAGTAAGTGGGATGGGTAGAGACAGCATACCAAGAAATCAAAGAGTCTGTTACAAGAATTATTATGATGCAGAAACAAATATATTAGTGGGATAGAACAGTGTCCAGAAATGAGACATAGAAACATATGGGAATTTAGTGTATGAAAAAGCAGCGAGGGAGAATTGGGTATTTTCAAAAATTCATATTCTAAAAATTCCAGAGGGACTAAACAAACATTAAAAAATCCCTTACTAGAATATAGAAGTCTTTTTTAATACAAATGAAGATTTTCCTAATCACAAGACAAAAAACAAAAACAAAAAAAAACACCAAAACTAATAAAACCAAATATATGAGTTTATGTTCATACGTGCATGTAAATAGGTGTGCAAGAACATACAGAGACAAATCTGCTCAAACCTATCGTGTGGAATTCCTTCCTTTTTTATTTTATAACTTTCTGTATTTTTTTTCTACAAGCATATATTTCTTTACCCCAAAAAATGTATTCAACTTTCATTTAATCAGTCATTCCTCATAAATCATTAAGATATAATGAAAACTGGTATTTACTACATGGATTTTTAGTTTAGACTATGGGTAATAAAGTCCTTCTGTTTTTATAATTAGGATGTTGGAAAGAATTAGAAATTTTAGAGATGATGAAACCAAAGGCATCAGTCCTGATTTACAAACTTTTGAGGTTTTTTTTTGCAGTGTAAAGTGAAATGATGTTTTATAAAGCCATAAACCAACTAAAACAGACAAGAGTGGAGCCGTTAGGATTAAATTTCAATGAGAAGCTCTGAGCTGTTAGTGGCAGCTTCTAATACATGCCTAAGAAACCATAGGCCCAAAACAGCAGCTGAAAGACACTGACCCAACTCAAATCCTCTTTTTTGTTGTTTTGATTTTTAGAGATAGGATCTCATTCTGTAGCCCAGGATGTAGCACAGTAGCACAATCATGGCTTACTGCAGCTTGTGAATTCCTGGGCCCAAGCCATCTTCCCACCTCAGCATCCTGAGTAGCTAGGGCTACAAGTGCATGCCACCGTGCCCAGCTGGTTACCAAACCCTATTATATATACGGTAACTGAAACTTAATAAAATACAAAATTACACAAACATTAAAAATATTTAATTTTTATATATTATTAAAAATAATACCTATATATTATTAAAACACACACATATATATTAAAAATAGATACATACAGACGGGGTCTCACTATGCTGCCCAGGCTGGTCTCAAACTCCTGCGCTTATGAGATCCTCCCTCCTCAACCTCTCGAAGTGTTGGGACTACAGGCATGAGTAACCACACTTGGCCGTCAGGTTTTTTTAACAGCAAAAAACTGAAAGCAACTTGAATGTCTACTAGTAGTGGAATGGCTAAACTATAACGTGCCCATGAAGTGGAAGTCTATGTACTACATGCATTCAGTAAAAATGTAGATCTAAATCCACTATTAATCTTAACAACAACAACAAGGACACAAAAGTATTAACACCAAAACAAGTGGACATGTATGACGATCAATTAAAGAAAAGCAGCCAGGCGTCGTGGCTCACGCCTGTAATCCCACCACTTTGAGAGGGTGAGGTGGGTGGATCATGAGGTCAGAAGTTCAAGATTAGCCTGGCCAACATGGTGAAACCCTATCTCTACTAAAAATATAAAAATTAGCTGGACGAGGTGGCAGGCGCCTGTAATCCCAGCTACTTGGGAGGCTAAGTCAGGAGAATCCAGTGGGTAGAGGTTGCAGTGATCTGAGATGGCGCCATTGCACTCCAGCCTGGACAAGAGAGTGAGACTCTGCCTCAAAAATAAATGAATAAATAAAAGGAAAGCATATATCTGTAGGAAATTATTCTGAAAACATGTAAGGCAAAATGTTATATCATAATCCCCAAGTGTGGATTAATGAATAATTTTCTATTTCCTTTACTCCCTAAATTTGTTTTTTTTTTTACTTTTTTCATTTTACACTAGCAAATTCAGAATTCAGTTTCAAACCCTGAAAATTTTTGCAGTGAGCACATATCACATTTAAAACCAGGGAAAATAATCGATGTTTTGATGTTGAGGGGGACACTCCCTCAAATTACAAAACAAAAAAAATGAACAATCCACAGCAGGGATAACTTCCATAATTTAAGTTGAGTGATATAAACAGTGGGCTGGGTTATGTGAGAGAAATGTACCTTGTCAAATGCAGTTTTCTGTTCAGGTGGGGGGAAAGCAGCTTTTTGTTCAGATGGTTGTGTAGGAGTTGTCTTTAACTGAGCTGTAATAGCCTGAACCTGAGCCATCACAGCATTGTCAAGGGCAGGAGACTGTGGTTTTGGAGGCTGCTGAAAAGTCTGAAGGATCTGCTGAAGCTTAAAGAATGGGAAAACCAGTAAATCACACAACAAAGTATAATCATACTATCAAAAGTTAATTTACTAAAAAAAAAAAAAAAAAAAAAAAAAAGGTGATTCAAAATAGCATAGGCATAGAATAAATAAAAAAATACTTTTACTAATGGTTAAATTTGTAGTGAATGAATGAATTCAACACAAGTACAATGTGCATTGCTTAAGGTTAAAAAATGTATGCTGACAATGTCAATGATACAAGATGATGGTTGAAGAGAAGAGAAAATACACTAAATTGTAAACAAGGTAAGCAAAACTTTTCTAGAAAAATGGAAAAATTGTCCATTACAAATAATTTTGAAATCCATCAGAAATGCTAGAATTGTGAACACCAACACAAGCCACTTAGCAGTTCTGAAGTCCTCTTCAAAGAGGTACTGCTATTTCTAAGTATGTTGTTCCCTTGTTCATCACTTTCACATTTTCCCTATTATTCCTACATCATTACTTCTCTTATGAAGGCTTTTCTAGTTGAAAAGCAGACATATTTTCTCCTTTGAATGTGGTTATTAATGAAAAATGGAAAACAAGAGATCAGAACAGTACCTAGTCCTGTAAACAATTTCACCTTTGACTAGACACTTTACCTGTTGGCCTTGAGTTGTCTGAAACAGCTGAGCCACAGCAGCAAACGCATCAGAGCTGGGCAACTGTGGTACAGTTGGGACAGAGTTTGGAGTGGCTTGTTGGGGTGGTTCAGAAGAAACTTTTACTGGAGGTGGAGGTGATCCTAAAAAAGAAAAGGGCATTAAGGTCTAAAAAAAACTATTAACCTATGAGTTTTCCTAATTAAGCTTCTTCACTAAAATAAAATTTTTCCAGTTTAACACAGTATAAAATATATAGATTGTGGCACTAGAGTTTATACTGTAACAACAGAAGAGCAGACTTTTATTATAAATAGGAATTATGGAAAGAAAATCACACCTTCCAAGATGTAAATTCAAGTTTCTTTCTACAGAAAAATTCCATCAACATAGATAAACTCTGACTCTTTCATGTGCAAAATACGTCATTGTGTAAGCTCACAAATACATTTGACCATACCTTCATTATTGGTAACATTTTCTGCTACTGGGGCCGCATTACTGGTTCCTGCTGCCATGTCCAAAAGAGGTTGAATGATTTCAATTTTGAACACTCCATTTTTTTGCCAAAGGTTCAGCACACGAACTATTTTACTCTGTTATGCATGAGGAAACACAAATATACAACAAATATTAACATAAATAACCTATTATGCTCTTACAAAAAAAAAAAGGAAAACCCCCCAGGCTAATATTTCCATACTATGTGTGTTTCAGAAATGAGGGGAAAAAAATCAGAATTAAACCCTGGTTAAACTACTTTAATTGCTGGGCACAGTGGCTCACACCTGTAATCCCAGCACTGTGGGAGGCCGAGGCAGGCAGATGACCTGAAGGAGACCAACTTAACCAATGTGGAAAAACCCCATCTCTACTAAAAACGCAAAAAATTTGCTGGGTGTGATGGCACATGTCTGTAATCCCAGCTACTCGGGAGGCTGGGGCAGGAGAATTGCTTTAACTTGGAAGGCGGAAGTTGTGGTGAGCCAAGATTGTACCACTGCACTCCAGCCTGGGCAACAAGAGCAAGACTGCATCTCAAAAAACAAAAACAATGTACTCCAATTAGTCTTTCTACAGTGGTATAATCTAGAGTAAGGCCCAGAGATAGACTGCAGACCCAGACAAGAAATTTATTATTTGACATTTTCATTTTATTTTACTTACAGTTACAAAGAATCTCTCTCACTGACAAAAAAAAAAAAAAAACAAAAAAACTATCTTAAAGAAGTAAATGAAGTACAGGAGAATTTTTTCAGAAAAATTGTAAAAGCTAAAACATTTAAGAAACTGGCCTTTAATCAAAATTTAACTTATGTGGCCAAGTAAATATAAAGGAGATCCAGAGAAGATGTGTTATTCATGGGTGTAACTTTCACCGTTACTCAAGGAATCATCTTGGTTTTTGGTGTATTTTTCCCACAAGTGCACTCTTCCAAGAATATAAAAACAGCCATCCATGACACTCAAATTTATATGCTGTTTATGGTAAATGTCTCTGTTCTTCATTATTCTGAGTATGTTTACGAGTATATTTTCCCCTATTTATAGCCAGTTACTATATCTATAATGCTTTTCTACTTTTATATAGTATGTTGCAAAGCCAACTGTATGCGTAAGGAATTAAATACTGTAGTCTGATTGCTAATGAATACTACTTAAGCTGCAGCACCTCTGTATGTTGGGAAAGAACATCAATTATTGGCCCTTTCTTTCTGGAATAATCAACATTAAGAGGATCGCTGCCTTTTTCTACTGCAGAATTTCTTCATTATTCAACTACATAAGCACATCTTTCCAATGATAAAGCAAGATGATGTTCCTTTCATATTATTTTTAAAAGATTTTACTTTACTGTGGTAAGAACACTTAACATGAGATCTACCCACTTAGCAAATCTTTAAGTGTACAATACAGAATTGTTAACTATAGGTAAAACGTTGTTCAGTAGATCTCTATGATCTATTCATCTTGCTTAATTGAAATGTCATACCTACTGATTAGCAGCTCCTACTGTTACCCTTATCCCTAGTCCCTGACAACTGCTATCACATTTTTTGATGCTATAAATTTTGCTCCTTTCATATTTTAACAGTATGACTGTATTTCTAAAGAACTTTGTAAGAAAATAGATAAATATGAAATGGCCGCTGAAGAAAAAATTGGGTTTTGTTTCAAGCTCACAGACATCACTAAACAAAAATCTCATTCAGGAATACAGCAGGATCCAAATACCTAACATACATTTAAAATATTAATTTTTTAAATAAAGAATACAAGTTTTAGTTTAAAAAATTAACTATACCTTATCTTCGGATGGACAAAGATATAAATATTGGAATGTGGCAGTTATGTTTTTAGAGAATCTTGGCCCAAAAACATCTTTATCAGTTCCAAACTGATGACGAGACTGTCGCACAATTGAGTCAATTACATATAATCCCGGAACCTTGTATTCTGGTTTACACTGCAAGGATAAACATGTAAAATCAGTACAGAAAAAGCAAAGTTACAATTTGACACCCATTAATTTCACCTTTATGAAACTTTATATATCCATCCAATGATTGCTTTTGGTTAAAAACTACTTGAATGTTTCAGCTCTCTGAATGGCTAACTTGTCAAATTTCCCATGTCTATACAGAACTACCATTCTCTTGATACTACTGACCACCAAGATTTTACTCTTCTTTGATTTCTCTGCCTCCCCACACCCAGTGTCCCAGAATCAACATTACTTTACCAATCCTTAAGCCAGTCCCATACAAATTAACTTACTATGATAGTCTCTACAATTCACTCTGCTCAAAAAGATAATTAACAATTTTTTTAATGTATCAATTTTAATTATATTAAAGTATAGTATCAGATAAATTAAAATTAAAAAGAAGTTGTTTTGGGCTAATCAAACCGACAACAACAGAATAACAGATACCTACATATTTTTCTGGTGGTAATATATGTAGGTGTCTGTTTTTGTAGTACAAACAAGTATAACCCTTTATCAAAAACAATTTAGCAATAAAAGCAAGGTCTTATTTAATCCACCAATTCTACATCTAGGAGTTTACGCCAAAAAAAGAAAATTAAGTCTAACAAACTAAGAAAATGGCTAAGTGCCTAATGGTAACAACCATAGCGAGGAGTGTTTTGCAAATGTTTATGATAAACTCAGTGGGAAAAGCAGGCTAACAACCAGTATTATATCAGTTTTTACTTTTATAAATGTATATGTACATAAATAAAAAACAGAACCAAATGTATTAATAAATATACCAGTAATTTGGAGGCAATGCCTGTAGGTAATTTTTTCCATTTTATTTGTCTTTGATGTATTACTATGCAAAGCTTCTACTAACCAGTTTTTTATTTTATTTATTTATTTTTTTGAGACGGAGTCTTGCTCTGTCACCCAGGCTGGAGTGCAATGGCACAATCTCCATTCACCGCAACCTCTGCCTCCTGGGTCCAAGTGATTCTCTTGCCTCAGCCTCCCAAGTAGCTGGGATTACAGGCATGCACCACCATGCCCAGCTAATTTTATGTATTTTCAGTAGAGACAGGATTTCACCATGTTGGCTGGGCTGGTCTCGAACTCCTAACCTTGTAATCTGCCCACACTGGCCTCCCAAAGTGCTGGGATTACAGGCGTGAGCCACCATGCCTGGCCTCTACTAGCCATTTTTTTGGCCGATTGGAGCTTTAGCTACTATACCTAAGCCAGTATACAAAGGCCATGGATTAGAGACATTTTTATAAACACTGAATAGTAGGTATTACATGTACATGTCACAGCTCCAGGTCAGAAGTTAAAACAAAGATGTTCAAGACTCTGTTCTCAATTTTCTACTAATACAGATGTGTGCTAATCACAGTTAAAAATAACTCAGAATATTTTATTCTGATGGGAAAAGTTGGGAAAATTTTACAAAGTAATTTCATTTGAAATACTCAAAAGTGAGTTAAACGTTTAAACACCAACAGTAGACAGGGCAAAGGGCAGAGCAAGCACTTCAGGCTTAGGGAAGGGTCCTGCCCAACATATAAGAATATGCTATGAGCTGAGTGTTAAGTTCACAGTAAGTGAAGTACCAGTTAATGGTACTGCTAAAAATGTTTTTAAACTTCTAGTGATTAAAAAGAACCTAGTGACTACTTTTTTAAGAAGTGGCTTTAGAAACAAGCATCCAAATTAAAATTTACAAAGTAAATTACAAATCATATTGTAACTAAAATGAGGTAATAATGAAAGATAGTTACCTTTTTGATGAACTTTTCTACTATTTGAACTACATGCTTATAAAGCTGAAAAGAATGAAAAGAAAATTACTGTTCAGTTTACATATTTCTACATTTCCTCTAATTAGAAAATACTTAAAACTTTGAAATCTGTATAATTTAAATATTATCAATACTGAATGAACCATGAGAAATAATCATAATCAAAAATTTTTAAAAATCTTAAAAAACAAATCAGAGAGAAATAAACTAAAAACAGAAAACTGGGAGGCTGAGGCGGGCGGATCACGAGGTCAAGAGATCGAGACCATCCTGGTCAACGTGGTGAAACCCCGTCTCTACTAAAAATACAAAAAATTAGCTGGGCACGGTGGCGCGTGCCTGTAATCCCAGCTACTCAGGAGGCTGAGGCAGGAGAATTGCTTGAACCCAGGAGGCGGAGGTTGCGGTGAGCCGAGATCGCGCCATTGCACTCCAGCCTGGGTAACAAGTGCGAAACTCTGTCTCAAAACAAAACAAAACAAAACAAAACAAAACAAAAAAAACCCAGAAAACTACAAAAATTCCTCCAAACAGAAGATCTTTTTTCTTAAATTTTAAATTAATAAACCTTCATAAAGGAGAATATTTGATAACGTGATGAGACAAAACCAATGGAATCAGAGCTAAACAATGTCACTTTTTCTAAAATAAGTCACTTTTTAAAGTGGCTTATTTTGGGTTAGACTTTTAATTTCACAGAGCTTAAATTTTTTCTCTCTTTAAAGAAAAATGAAACTAAATAGTTGGTTTATAAGAAATAAATGAAAAATTTAAAAACTGCTTTGAGGCTGGGCACGGTGGCACACGCCTGTAATCCCAGCTACTTGGGTGGCTGAGGCATGAGAATCACTTGAACCCAGGAGGCGGAGGTTGCAATGAGCTGAGATAGTGCCACTGCATTCCAGCCTGGGTGACACAGTGAGATTCTTGTCTCCCCACACTCCAAAAAACCCAAACTGCTTTGAAAGAATACATTACAATGCAAATATACGCTTATCATGTACCTTCAGCAAAGGCTGGTTAGGGCTCTTTGATTTAGGCCTAAACTAATTCACAAGCTGACTTCCCATGTTTAAAAAGGTGGTATTTTCAAAATTGCAAAAAACATTTCTCAAATTGATTATATTTATGTTATCATTACCTTAATAGCTTTAATAGCAGCTTTAGTGATGAGAATCATCTTGGCTCTAGAGATGGGAGGTTTCATATCCATAAGTGAAAAGAGCTTAAAAGACAAAAATAAGAAAAACTGTTGAAATGAAAAGTTTAACTATTTGACTAGTGAACAACCACCTTTCCTACATATCTGCATCACCACTTGGAAAATACAATCGGGACGTCTTAGCAGCTCAGGCAGCGGGAGGAGCTGCAGTGGCCAGGGAGCCCAGTTTTGTGAAGGCTCTTGGTGTACAGGTACCCAGCACACACCCTCCCCACTGTCATGATACCCAAGAAGGCGGTCAGCTCTGCCAAAGAAGTGGCAAAGGGGTGGTGAAGGAAGAGCCCACGAGACAACAGGCATGGCTGTCAGCTAAACCTACTTCTGCAAAAGTGCAAATGAAGCTGAAAAATGGCAGCAGAGAAGGATAAATTCTCAGACAAAAAAGTGCAAACAAAAGGGAATGGGAGGAGGAGCAAAGAGAAAACAGGATCAAGTGGCTAACCAGGAAAGCAAAGATTACCTGCAGGAAAAGGAGAAACTAAAACCAAGCAGAGTCCAGCCTCTGATGAAGCGAGAGAGAAAGAAGCCAAGTCCACTCAATACACACCATGTCTTAGCAGTGGTCCCTGTCTTCCTTCTTGTACAATCCAGAGTAGTATTTTTATCAAATATTTTGTGAATGCAAGTTGGTCTAGAAACATTTTTTAAGGAGGGAATCCCATTTCTTCCCACTTTTTAAATATAATTTTTTTAAGAGGTAAAAATCATTCACTGGTTGTTTCCTTTGCTTACTTCTTGGTACAACCAGAAGAGTATGGAATACTGTATTGCTTTGACTGTCTTGGGTGTCAGCGTAACATTCCATAGATGGGGAGGTTACTTTTCATATCCTACAACATCTCTACTAAATATACAAAAATTAGCTCGCCATGGTGGCGCACACCTGTAATGCCAGCTACTCAAGAAGCTGAGGCATGAGAATTGCTTGAACCCAGGAGGTGGAAGTTGTAGTGAGCCAAGATTGCACCAAGGCACTCCAGCCTGGGCAACAGAGCAAGACTTTGTTTCAAAAACACACACACACACACACACACACACACACACACACACACACACACAAATAGGGGAGAACCAAATTTAACAAATCTCACAACGGTAAATCCCAGCCATCAGGTGGTTCAATGAGACTTAACCACATATTTTTACTCCTTCCCCCAAATGGTTAAATCTAATCAAAACATAAGGAGAGTCCATAGCGGATTATAAAGATAAAATCCTGGCATTAAGAAACATAACTAGTTTCTTAAATTCTTGTTTTTGTTTGGTTTAATCATAAGCATATACTTCTGAGACTTCCAAAAGATATTATGTGAAATAAGTTTCAGATTCCCAAGATTATGAAACTCATTTCATAATGAGTTTCAATGGTATCACATTTCCATTCTTTCCATTTATGCCAATATTCAAAATATGGACACCTAGGGTATGAACCTTTACTAGACAACTAGCTAACAGGCTAGCCTAAAACAGGAGTGTTTTCTCAAGAGTAAATAGCCCCACCTAGAAGTGTATCCTAAGAATTCAATTTTCATGGCCAGGCGCGGTGGCTCAAGCCTGTAATCCCAGCACTTTGGGAGGCCGAGGAGGGTGGATCACGAGGTCGAGAGATCGAGACCATTCTGGTCAACATGGTGAAACCCCGTCTCTACTAAAAATACAAAAAATTAGCTGGGCATGGTGGCACGTGCCTGTAATCCCAGCTACTCAGGAGGCTGAGGTAGGAGAATTGCTTGAACCCAGGAGGCGGAGGCTGCGGTGAGCCAAGATCATGCCATTGCACTCCAGCCTGGGTAACAAGAGCAAAACTCCGACTCAAAAAAAAAAAAAAAAAAATTCAATTTTCACAACTTTTCAAAACTATGGACATCAGTAACAATTTTAGAAAAGGAATGAAATATAACCCATAAAAAAAAAGATAACGAAGTAAGCAGAAAATAACAGAATTTTTCCATAAGATAAAGAAAATGGGAAAAACACTAAGACACTAAGATATTAACACAGGGATTCATTTTAACAAAGGGATTCTCTAAATAAAGTTGTGATTCTTCGTTGCATTATTTCATTTACCAGGGTAGTAAAAAAATTCTCTTTGAGAATAAATGCTCACTAACTGAAAGGCAATTAGAAATAGTAGGTCAGGTGCTTATGCCTGTAATCCCAGCACTTTGGGGGGCCGAGGTGGATGGATCACCTGAAGTCAGGAGTTTGAGTCCAGCCTGGCCAACATGGCAAAACCTGTCTCTACTAAAAATACAAAAATTAGCCAGATGTGGTGGCACGCGTCTGTAGTCCTGGCTACTTGGGAGACTGAGGCAGAAGAATCATTTGAACCCAGAAGGCAGAGGCTGCAGTAAGCCAAGATTGTGCCACTGCATTCCAGCCTGGGCTGGAATGACAGAGCGAGACTCTGTCCCCACCCCCACCCCCACCCCCACTCCCCAAAAAAGGGAAAGAAATAGTAAATCCTTAAAATTATATAAATCAGTAAAAAAATTTAACATATTTCAACTTAAACACAAATTCTAAAAAATATCAATACTGCATAAATATGTAGCATACATTTATAAAAGGTATACTCTATGTTATAAAATCTATTAAGACAGTTGCTTATTATTGTTCTATTTTCTTTTCTATACCTTACCACAGAGAAAGAAGATGCAAAACACACACACACACACACACACACACACACACACACGAATCTTAAGAATGAGCAACCCCCACACACACATTTAATTCTTGGGTTGTCTTCAGAACTCTTAAATAATTTATGCAAAAATCCTGAAGAAACTAGAAACCCGCCCTTGTTCTCAACCTCCTGAGTCAAGACCACTTCTTGATGTGATTCATGCCAAATACTTGAGACACTGCTATATTTTAAGATGAAATATATCCAAATAATTAATCCATACTTTTAAATATAGATCAATCTATAGTATTATAATTTAATCTATATTTTGGATAGATTAAATCTTTAATCATAAAGTAGAAGCAATAAGGGGCCTACCGTGTAGAAAGTCAAAAGAGTCAGGATGGTCAGGAAGCCAGGATGGTGAGGAATCTAAATGCATATCCAAGGAAGTCTGGAATGTTTATGCAGGTACAAGACACTTATGTTAAAGTAGCCACAAGATTGTTTAACAGGAGATGAACAAATGTGACTCCCTGTTTACTGCTACAGATCAAAGCTTTGTGTGAAATCTTAAATTTATGGGGCGGCAGTGTGAGTAAGAAAGCCTGTACCTGTCTATTCGTTTCCTGATCCCTTCCCCTCATTCCTGAACTGTAAGAGACTTAGCCCCATTGGGCACTGGTATCCCCATCACTGGGGTTGCGAGAGGCAGGGGGTGTATTTGATGATTGATTTTGCTGTACCAAGTACTTCCTTTCTCATTTTCTAATGATTTTGTAACACACATGCTGACTTTTTTCCCTTGCCTTCTCCTTTCCCTGGGAAAATACAACGAATAAAGACTTACTGGTATTGACACTGCAAAAAAAGAGCAACAGTAAGAACTACTTGTCTGGTCATTAAAAGCTTAAGAGTAAATTTTAATAAAGCCTAAGCCAGAGATAACATTCATCTAATGCCCCCAAAAGCACTTCTTTCTCCATAGTCTCTATTTAAATTATCATAATGTATTTAAAAAATTAAAGTATAGACTATACCACATAACAGTATAACCATCATTCAGGCAAAAGACCAGGAGAACTGTCAACTGAGACAGCTGAAAAGTATTATTACATTCCATAAAGACAAGATTATTTGGGAAGAGAAGAGGTAACCAACATTTGAGTGCTTATCAGGCGGCAATGAGCTGGGTGACGTGATGTGTTGTAGTTTTTACTTAATCATGTTAACTAAGGCAGATCTGTTACATCTGTTTTGAGATGATACTCAAAAGACTTACATCTGTTTTAGATGATGCCTAGGCCATGATCTGAACCAAAATTTGTTGATTCACATTCCCTAACAACATACCCATAATACCCGATACAATGCTGCATACAGACAAAATTTGTGCAGAGACCATTAACTATGATAGGAAATATTAGGAAATAAAAAATCCAGGCAGGCATCTGTGCCTGCTTGTTGTATACTGTTTGGATTCAGGGATAACAATGAAACATACTGAATTTAACTTGGGATGCCTACCAAATATCCAGGCAGAGAAAGAAATACGAATCTTGAATGTGTAAGAGAGATCCAGGCTAGAAAGTGAAAGGTTACAGAACCATGAGGATGGGTTAGAAAGAGCTTAAAGAAAGAAAGGAGTCAAGAACATATACACTAGGCCAAGTGTGGTGGCTCATGCCTATAATCCCAGTATTGTGGGAAGCCGAGGAGGGAGGATCACCTGAGGTCAGAAGCCTGACCAACATGGTGAGACCCTCTCTCTACTAAAAATACAAAAATAAACCAGGAATGGTGGCACACACCTATAGTCCCAGGAACTCAGGAGGCTGAGGCAGGAGAATCGCTTGAACTTGGGAGGCAGAGTCTGCAATGAGCTAAGAACACACCACTGTATTCCAGCCTGGGCAACAGAGTGAGAATCCGTCTCCCCACAAACAACAACAACAACACATATATACCAAACATTCCAATGTAGCAGAGGCAAAAACCTAGAAAAATAAACACCGGGACAAAGTAGAATCGCAGAAATTAAAGACATCTGGCATAGCCAAACGCTACCTACAAGAGGTTAATCAGGATGCAAAACAAAAATCTTGTTCATTTAGTTTGGCAATTAGGTGAATGTAAGTAATAATCAGTTTTTGAAAGTGATTCCAAATTCCAACTTTTTAAGGAATGAGTGGCAGGCAAGGAAGCGGAAATGCATTTTTGGCTCATTTGTCATTAATTCAACAAATACCTGACAGCTTAGTTAGTGACAAGCTGAGTGTTTCGTATGTAAAAAGGAGACAGGACCATGTTTCAAAGCTTTCACCCTTACTTAAATCCTATCTGTTAGCATCATAAAGTTTCCATCTCTCCCCTC